CAAGAACACAACCACTACCCACTCTTTCCTCTCGCTATCTATAATCCTTTCACCGTTACAGCGCGCATAGAGCACATCCATCCACTAAATGGTTGATCAAAGAGAAAAAAAACAAAAAATGCCGATCACTTGAATGCCAAGCTCAGACGAAGGGTAAAGGTCAAAGAATAAAGATTCCCTTTTTAATATTTAAATCGGGTATCAAAATAAACGTAAACTGAATGGGAGAAAGTAAAGAGTAAATATAAGCCTGCATAGACATTTGTTGAGTTTCTTTGTCTACGTTCAATATATCGTACACTCTATAGTGTAACTGGTGCAAACTTGAATCTAAAAAAAAAAAAATTACGTTATCTACGAATCTTTTTTATAGCTACAGCAACACGTAAAAAAGTTTTGATTTTTATGCGAGCGACGAGTGTTTAAATAGAAAATTTCAATTTTTGACTCATCAAGCGAAAAATTGTGTTATGATTGAACTATGTGTTTGCAAATTAAACTTTTCTACTTCCGACATTGAAGAGCATTAAAATTAAAAGGGCAACCGAAACTTTTTTTATTGTAGAAGGTCTTACAGCATTGCCCAAGCAGTGGTTATTGCTGCTAATGGGTTCAATTACAAAACCTGTTGATTCGCATACGAATTGTATGACGTAACGTTCAATTTCATGCTTTCCAAATTAATCAAGAAAGAGCAGAAATCTCCATCTTGCCGCTCCAATGATATCAAAGTCGACGTTTGAAAACCTGACGCCTAAAAAGCCTAAAACCGTAGTTACGGTAGTAGAGATCCACTGGCAATGTTTTATGTAGATCTGAAACATAGTGCAGATAATAAATAGCTTTATGAAACAAAATACTGTAGTCATGCTGTCGCTAGAGTTAAAACTTCTTTAAACACCAAAAGCATACCGCAATGTCATCAGTGTCAATATTTTGGACGCGCAAAAACTTATTGCACAAAACAAGTTGAATGTATTAACTAATACCTGCACTAAAAGCGATGGCACCTCAAATGCGAAATGTGAAATCTTCAAAATGTGAGCAATTTGCAAAATCGTTTAGCCAAATATGAAAGTCATTCTATACACCAGCTGCTTCTTAAAAAAAAACGTAGAATAAGCTTAATGACAATTCTTCCGTGAATCAAGAAGAATTGCCCCTTCTTAATAGACAACACTCGATTACACATATCACGCATATAACTTTAATGTTTTGCATATACTTATACCTACCTGTCAATGTGACAAGCAAATTTTGTGGATCTTTACAATCGCAAAAATGAGGATAGGAAGCTGAAATTCGACACAAACCTCCTTTAATTGGCTAGAAATGTGAATTTAAAAAATGGACGTGATCCGATCACATACATGATCACAATGCAGAAGAACTTAAAAAAACCTCGAAAAATACGGACAGTTCTGTCTATCTGTTCGGGAATACATTCCTAATAAACTGCTATTCAAAACATTGTCGATGGATTTATTAGTGCATCCATCATTAACTGCAACTTTTTAATTCTAATTAATTTCCCATTTATTCTAACGTATATTGGACTGGATTTTGTCATTAATTGTGGACGTGTCCGTTAACGCAATTAGAATGCATCTCGGAATGAACGTGAAGGTAATCGTAATAAAAACATATAGGTTGCAAGTTTGTCTTCATGGAAAAAATCCATTTCTAATTTAATTAATAATTTAAAACAGAAAATGCTAATCTGAATAGTTTTCTGGATCGACCTGAGGTAGTCTATGGGTCAATCCGTGTATCTTTTTGTTCAATCCATTTGTCGCCATTTTTTGGATATTTTAATGAAATTCGGTACACTGACATGTTTCGGTCGAAGGACGAACGCTATCGGACCACTTTTTCTACCACTTCCCCTATAATGCCGTAATTTAAAAAGTCGTTCTTTGAATAATAGTACTAAGGGAAGAACTGAAAGGCTTTTAATGATGGATCGCGACCCACTAAAATGTTTTTACTTGTTTCAATAATGTGTAGGGCAAAAAAAAACGTACATGAAAGATTTATAAAATTTATATTTGTAAAATGTTTCAACAACAATCTTTCAGTGAAAGATTACCTTAGCGGTTCTAAAGACATTTTTTATGAACTTACTTTTATATAAACTGATTGTTATGGAGCTGCATACTGAAAATTCTTTGCAAAGAAAACACAGGACTTTCAAAAATTGAGCTACGTGTTCAAAGTTCAGCACAGTAAATGTTTTTATCAAATTACTGTTATGGCTCAATTTTCAAAATAACATATTAAAATTTACACTTTTCTGCCCTTTAAAAGATCAGTTTTCGTAAAAATTCTTATTTAGGGTAGGATACAAAAGATATTTATTATTTATTTACAATGAATATAATGTTTGTCATATAATTGAATATGTATATATACAGTAGATTTCAATCAAAAATTTGTTTTCCTATGTCTAATGTTTATTAAAATTAATTTGATTTTACTCTACAGGAGGCCTGCAGGAGCTACAGGAGCTTCGAAACTGCACCTCGATATTTGATAAAGTTTATTATTTTTATAATTAACAACGTTGAAATCCTAATATTATATTGCATATGCATCTGATGATTATTTCAATCATTTTTTGCCTTTTTTTTATTTATTACAAGCAACTCTGTGCTTTGCCTTTTAACAGGGAATTTAGCGAGGGCTTTGTTTAATTTGATAATAAAAATTATGTCGGTCTACTTTTAGGCTAACTTAACAGAAAACAAAAATCCAACTCTGTTAAAATGCAAAGCCGTCGGCAAAACAAAGGTCCAACTGTTAAATTGTTAAATTGTGGCATAGTGGTGAAGACAGTGTTTCTGCTCTACTCTTATTTTTATTTTGTTTTATTGGTGGTGGCTTTAGAATAGAAACACTCTCAACTGCCACGTTATTAAAAATTTATCTCCTAAAAATAGACATTCTAATTTTACTATATTACCAGACATAAGAAAACGCTATTAAGCTAACAGCACCGACAAATATAAAATAAATTCTTCAAATCGTAAACTGACGCAATATAGGTTTACGATGTTTGCTTATAAAAAAGTGTAAAACTGTGAATAAAAATTGCCTCAATAAATATGAATAACTATGAAAATAATGCGAAATGTATGTGTACATGTGCCTGTACAATTTATTTCAAAAACAATGTCCAGAATATTCTTCTGCAAGTAAACATTGCTTTTTTTTCTGCAAAGTACAAACACAGTATGGCGGAGCTGTTGCATGCCAATATAAAATATTCTTTCATTCTTATGCAAATTCTTACAAAATTGTATAATTTTCCCCACAAATAGCGACGTAGGAAACCTTTAATAAATAGTTGTCTAAAATTGTCTTTCGAGAAATATTAATTTTGAGCGTTTTCTCTGTAAGTTTGTTTGTTTTCTTCTTTTGTTCGTTTCTTATAAATAGAAATAAACGAATTTATTGGAAAAAAGTTTCAACATCACAAAGGTAAAAATATTTGGACTTTCGGAAAGATTTTCTACTTCTACTAGAAAGAAGATGATAATAGATGCTTCTCGAGATGCTGATGACATGCCAAAATAAATAAGTTTTAATAAACATAATTATATGAAAGTGAAAGTCAATCTTACTTTCAAAATACCATCTTCAATTCACATTCAATAATATGTATTAAATTATAAAATGTAAAAAAAAGTAAATTATAAATGTAAAATAATATGTATTGTCTTAACCGTAATAAAAGTAGCGCTATTGTGGAACTCGGGCGGTTTATATAAAAACTGCGGTGGAAACTACAAAAATGGTTAAGTTAACTTGGGATGAATGTTCAAAACGCTATGAAACACAGTGCGGTTTGCGAGATTTCGTATGCAGTCTTGAGAATAATGAATGATGTAGACTGGACCGGAACGCACCGGAGGCCCAAAAAAGCTTTGCCGGAAAATTCGACGATAGCAAATCTATTTGCAAAGGAAGAGTTATTCACTTTATGTGGTTTTTGAAGCTTGTTTGTGGTTTCAAAAATAATTACATTTTGATTCATTATAATATTGAAACGGCCCAGTCAATTTTTTTAATTTTTGTAGAGAAACTACAGTATCGCCCATAGCGTAAACGGTCAAAATTTTCTAAATTTATCTGCTGTGGCTTATGAGTAATGAGTAAAAAACCAATTTTTTATTCCTTTTGAAAAACAGAGTTGTTCTCACTTTACGTAGTACTTTAGACGTGCCCCTCGCCCAAATTTGCCCATTTATAATACCAAATTGCATGAACTCTCAATGTTTCTGCCAAATGCGAAGTTAATAGCTTCATTTTTGCGGCCAGGATAATGTTCACAACAGACATTATACAGAGGAACAGACGAATATGCTTAAATCGAATAGAAATTTAACGCTGATCAAGAATGTGTATAATTTGTAGGGTCTCTAAAACTTCCTTTTGAGCGTTGCAAACGTTTTAGCAGAGCGAATATATGCCTCCTCCTTCGGTAACATGTATAAAGACGCTATTTAGAGGCAAAGGAATTCGAAAAGCATCATATAGTCGTATATATGACTACCAAATTAGTGCTCGTGGATCCAAATCTCAACTGCGGCCGACGTTACTTTGATCGCAGCTATATTTACCGATTGGGGACACAATCACTAGACCGTGACCATCTCCCTATCACATTCTCTATCGTTACTTCATCCTGATAATCAACTTGTTGCACGAACGCTTCATAAAAACGCCCGTTCGCAAGTAGTAAAAGTGATCTTCAACCTGCGCTAGGAACTTCTTCCTGAAATTGTTCTCCATATTACGATATCTAGGAAGATCATTACGTATAAAAAATTCAGCTTTCGCTTTCGTTTTCCGGCTATACGCAATAGCATTCATTGTCGTGCGTTAACTATCATTTTCATATTCACCACCAAAAGATGGCGTTATATTCATTACGTCAAAAAGTTTTAAAAACCCAAAAAGAAGAATTAGAGATCCTATAAAGTATATATATTCTCGATCAGTATTAAATTCTGAATCGAACTAGACATATTAATTCGCAGGAATTATGATTCGAAAATGAAATTCACAACTTTTAAAGTTTCAATGCGAAGTTATTTCATCTTCTTCTTTAGGCTTACTTGTATAACTATTTTGTCATTTTCCGACTTGGACAGCAGATCGTGAGGGTTTTGCATAATTGTCGTAAATAAATATAAATGTACATGTGAAATTTGAATTTTTAAGAAAGATATTTTGCACATTAACTAATCATTTATAGGTGGAATTTGGACACTAACTAAACAAAAGTGGCTAAAGTGGTAATACTGGTAACACTTTTTGTATTATTTTTTTTTTAATATTGTACTTGTAACACATCTCCAATCTTTTAATCTATTTCTCAACTAAGGATTCATTGAACATCCTGTTGGTAAATATATAAGTAGAAGAGAACATAGCGGGAATAAACTTTTGTGATTTATACATGATAAACATGGATGTGCTGGTATTGACGGATACCGAATCAGAAACTAGTGTGGAGCAGCTCGAAAGCAAATCTGTTAAAACCTACAGTTTCTTCCAAGTTGAAGCAAACGATTGTTGTAAGTAACTACTCCACTGAACTAATTAACCCACTGAACGATAGCTTACAATTGTTCGTTTCAGTAAAGGATAATATAGATGAAGATTCGAAGTACAAAGAGTAAGTACAATATTCAACTTTTATTAGAAAAAGTTTAATCGCTTTTTGCTTTGTTTTTATAAGTTATGAAGTTCGTTTCCAAGCTGAGATACAACAATGGAAAGCGTTATATTTTGAAGCATACGAACACATGAAAAGATCGCAAGAAAGCAATCTAATAATAGATAGGAATATTTTATCTGCTGATCAACTGGTGTATTTGCAAAATGCCCCTTCTCCGCAAGTCTTCGTCCGGGATGCCTTGGATTTCCGCAGAAAATTTTACTTGTTTAGGGAGACGAAATATGCCGAAATTAGGGATATGCTGGACAATCTTAGAGATTTATGTGAACAACGGCTAAGTTTGATCATGGCCAATGAAATTTCCGATAATTTTGCCAATACTAAAAAAAACGAAATAGTAAGCTGAAATAACGATTTACTAATGAGAAACCAAGATGATAAGAGAGATAATAAATCGATGAAATACACATGTTTTACAGTTAATTGAAGTAGATTCCAAGAATCTTTCTACTCTTTGCCCCAAGCGGCTAAGTATTTCATTAAATCAGTGACCCCATCAAAATCTGTACGGCTAGTGGGCGGCCTGTCACTTGTTAGCTTGGGGAGACCCTGACCCATTTTCATGCGAAACTCTTCCATCTATTTATCAACACATAAACCGGCATGTAACTAAATAAAGGGCTTCTACATGTCTGATTTACTTACATTTTTAGCTCCTGACAATTTCCAAACCCCGAAACAAAATGCACCCGTTCCTATAACAGCATACAAAGTGCCCAAACCTAATGCTTTCATTGCTAAAGCAGATCCTTCATCCAATAAGAGAACGGTTTTTCGGCCACCTTGTTGTATTAATTTAGTCTCACTTGCTTTGGCTTTGCCCAACGTACGCGAAAAACCAAATAAAGCCGATATACCACCAACTAATCCCAAAAAAAGCACAGCTGCAATTTGCGTAATTTCTAGTTATCTCAATCTTTTATTAAAATGAAAAAAAATTTGTTATCTACTACCTTCAATTTTATATTTTTTTCTTATGTCTAAAGATGCATTGGGCTCAATCATCTTTGTGCTGTAACCAAGTAGCCTTTTTTCTTTGTTCTTTACTTCATTGCTTATTTAAATTTCTTTCGACAGTGCTGCCAGCATAGAATGACTTTGTTGTCACAAAGAAGTTTTTAATTAATCCGACCTGTTCGTCCCTCCGATTATAGGTCTTTCAGCAAAAATCATTACGAATCCAAAGTCTTACTTAGGAAAATGAGTTTGCGTTCAAAGTACTTTTCTTACTGTGGCCAGGCTAAGTTTGAACATCGGCAAAATTTGTTTACAGCGTTTAAAATTTTTCCCTATTAAAAGCGCAATAATTCAGAAAACTTGAAAAAAATGGTCTTCTAAAATAAAGAATTCGCTCAAAGTTAACAACAAAGCACACATCTGTAAGGCGGAGCCTTTATATACGATTTGTAGACCTGTACAATTTAGTTTTCAGATGTAATAGTGATATTTTCAAATAAAAAGGGCTATATGCTGACTAGTAATAATAGTTTACTTAAGGCTTTTCATTGTAACATGGGCTCGTTGTAGATATAAGAATATTATTATATTATATTTTTCTATTTAAATCCCATATTGGATATAACATTATTTTTTGTCATCCAGCAAAATCAAACAGTACGTTCAATGCGTTTCCCTTAAATCAGCTGTGTTTTTGTTTATCTTAGAACTATTGTTTAAAGTTAAAATTTGCTGAAGATTGCAAAATGTCGAGAACAATTTTAACTGCGTTCCGCAACTTTCAATGCAATGTTAAGAATGTCAATAGAATAACTTGCAGGTCAGTTTGTTATCTAGCTATATATTTTGTAATAAAATTGGATCTTTATACATTTAACAGCATTGCGAGTTTTCGACAGAGCTTTAAACCAAATGATTGGAAATCTTCGTTGTTGTCCAAAAATGATCTATTGAAGTCATGCAACTATCCACAAATATTGAGCAGGTCGATGTTTATACAAACTCAAGATACTCCAAATCCAGATAGTTTGAAATTTATGCCAGGGGTAGATGTGTTGGGCAAAGGCAATACATATGATTTTCCCTCAGTCTCCGCTGCGCATTGCAGTCCTTTAGGTAAATAGATCAGAAAATAACTGAGTCAATGGGCCTATTGAAATTTGTTCACATTTTATCTCCAGCGAAACTGTTATTTCGCATTGAAGGCGTACGTTCGGTTTTCTTTGGTGCAGACTTTATAACTATTTCCAAAAATGAAGACGCCGAATGGGGTATTATAAAAGCCGAGGTATTTGCTATTATTATGGATTTCTTTGCTAGTGGTTTACCCATTTTGAATGAAGCGACACCGAATTCCGATACGCAAATCAATGAAGATGACGATGAGATTGTTATGATGATTAAGGAACTCTTAGATAGCCGCATACGGCCTACAGTGCAAGAGGATGGCGGCGATATTATATTTATGGGCTATGAGGAGGGTGTGGTAAAGCTGAAAATGCAAGGTTCCTGTTCTTCATGTCCCAGTTCAATAGTTACATTGAAAAATGGTGTACAAAATATGTTACAATTTTACATACCGGAGGTTCAAGCAGTAGAGCAAGTTTACGACGAGGTCGACAAAGTAGTTTTGTCAGAATTTAACAAGTTGGAAAGGAATATGAAATTAAAAGAACAAGCGACGGTAAATGAAGCAGCACCGCCAAATATTGAAGAGAAGAAATCCTAATTGAATCTAATTGGTTTTTGTTAAAAACTTTGTATAATTTGTCTTGTTTCATATAATTTAAATAATATTTATTTTGCGATTGCGATCTCTCTCAAATTATCTAAAACCTTAGGTAACGTCCCTGTTGCTAGTTATTTTAATAAATAATGACGTTCTAAAGTGAAAGCAAATTTTCATTTTTTTAATAGTATCAAGTGTAATAGATAACCTGGTCCGGATCATACTTCTTAACAGGCTTTCTGATGCAACCTGCAGTCAATGCAATATGCCATCTCGTTTTATTTTAGACTCGGGATTTTCTTTATTAGTTATAGTTTAAGTAATAACTAAAACTAATATTTTGATGTTACATAATTCCATTGATCAAATTTAACAGATAATAGATTCATAAATGTTATGAATAAGTTTGTCAACAATAAAATAGAATCTCAAAAGCAGTCATTTTGGTAACAAAGCTACGGTGGAAATTTTGAAGAGTTGTTGAACCAATACGATGATGGAAAAGCCATAAATTCTCAGCGTGCATCCAAAGAGTGCAGTCCTTACCCATTTGTGGAAAAAATTTTGCATCCCGCAAGTAGTTAATGCTTACTATATATAATAATTTAATGTAATTGGACCGAAATAGCTGATCAAAAGTATATGTAAGAAATCACCTTAAGTCTATGATATGTTACGTCGCACAATTGTGTGCTAACGGCAACCCTGCTGTATAAAAATACATAAAAATTGTTGTTGGTTTTTACTTCCACATGGATCAAGTCTTGTTGTGTTTTGTAATATTTATGTAGTTATAATAATAATATTTAATTATAAAATTAATCTTAAATAAAGTAAGCATTACTAACCGTACAAGTGGGATTACTTTAAGTAATCCAGTTAAGTTATTTGACTTTTAGAGAAATTAGAATCTCATCATAAACTTCAAAATTCGTCTTCGACATCTTCGATAAAAAAAAAGCAAAATTAAATTAAATGTTAACAATATTGTTACGCCATACAGTCGTTAATGTGCGACATAGATCTACGATTTCTTTAAATTATGGTCAAAGTATATTAGTGCGTAAATTTTTGTGTACTTCAGTCCAGAGACAAGCTCATTTGCCGCAATTATCACCATATGATGTAAGTCCGTTCGCGCCGATCTCAATCGTAAATGTTTTGATATTGGAGTATGTTTATTTTGTTATTTAATTACATTGTCAAGGTCAATTTGATTTTAAGAGAAAATGAGTTCATGTATACATTTACTGAGGAGCAAAATTGTTCAGTGCATGGATATGAATCAAATCAATTAAGTTCTAATAGACCATGTGAAGATACCCGAACAGAAGCTAGTTTCATACATAAAAATGGTATTTTTTGATTGTCTGCAATGCAATGAATATTTATCTAATTTGATATTATTGTTGTAGCTTTTATATGCGGCATTTTTGATGGTCATGGTGGTCCAGCTTGTTCCCAAGTTGTATCTAAACGCTTATTACGGTATATAGCTGCCAGTGTAATTGATCGAAAGATATTGAAAGAACAAATCAAACAAAAATGTAACAGTCAATCATTTCTTAAGTGCCATAATGATAAGGTCCGATCATAATATATAACTATTCAGATATTAATGATTGTGTTTTTTCAGGTGGATTTTGTTAAAGAAATTAAAGATCTTTATGAAGAAAGTTTTAGTAAATTCGTAAGAAAAATTTCTAGTCAAAGTCAAAATGAACGCTCTAAGGAAATACAAAATGCTTTTCTTTCTTTGGATAAAGATTTATCGGAAGAAGCTTTACGTCATACAAATATACGTACAATGTCTGTCGCTATGTCTGGTAAAGTTTATAAGTGCTTATCATTTAAATTGATTTGATAAGTTACGTAATGTCTAACATAGGTGCTGTGGCTTGTGTTGCTCATGTGGAAGGTATCGATTTACACGTAGCGAATACCGGTGATTGTACCGCTGTATTGGGTACTCAAAACACGGAAACTGGTCAATGGCTTTCAAAAAAACTCACGGTTGAGCACAATACCGACAATCACCGCGAAGTAAAGCGCATATTATCTGAACATCCTAAAGAAGAACGCGATACTGCCATACGTAATGATCGTTTGTTGGGCCAATTAGCACCACTGCGTGCCTTAGGAGACTTTCGTTATAAATGGTCGAGTACCACTATGGAAAAATTTGTTGTACCTGTTTACGGTGAGGCGTCAATACCGCAGCATTACTTTACACCGCCATACTTAACAGCTGAACCGGAAGTTGAGCATCATACATTAACGCCCAATGACAAATTTTTAGTTATAGCCAGCGATGGACTATGGGATTTTTTGACACCTTCACAAGTTGTGGGTTTGGTTGGCGAACACCTAAGTTCAAAGCGAATTCTAGAACCAGTCAAGATACCGTCCGGAGATGTATCGTTACAATCGATAGCTGATTTGTTGGCGCAAAGGAAGTATGTTTTTAAGCTAAGGCTCCATCTTGAGGAGAGATTTAAATTCGATTAATGAAAAAAAACTGTTCACTTGCTACATATTACCATTTTTCAGAGCTGGACTCACAACGAAGCCATTGGATCAGAACTCCGCAACTCATTTAATACGTTATGCGCTGGGTTCCACCGATTATGGCATTGAACATTCAAAAATCTCCTATTATCTCTCACTACCTCAAGATGTTGTGCGTCTTTACCGGGATGACATAACCATCACAGTGATTTACTTTAATAGTGATTGTATTTCCAGTCTAAAAGATACCGGAACGTCTTAATTTTGATAACATCTCGTCACTAACGAAGATTGTTTATTCTATTTTAGTTTTCTTTTGTGTAAATAGTTTGTTCAAAGTTCTTTTCTTTAAACGTGTTTGGTAGCTGCTGATGAACTGATTGATTTCGTTCCTTCTTTTAGTTTTAGAAATTACTGTTTACCGTTTACTATACATTTTTTTTTTTTTTATGCATTTGTTCCTGTTAAGAAATGTATGAAACAAATCTTAGTTCAAATCTCTGCAAATGTAAAAACGATTGCCAAAAATATTGTTAAAATAAAATGATTACTCTTCCAGATGAGTTTTTTTTTTTTCAACTACTTATTTTGATTAAAAATTTTCCCTCGCAATTTTACGTTTCTGTTCTTTTAATTGCTGTTGAACTTTTTACACATTCTGTGGTTTGGTTTGTTTTTTTTCTTGTAAAGCAATTTTTGAAATCATAAGAAAACAAAGTAACAAACAGCCAGTGTCGACATTTTTGAGTTTTATAAGTTTTTTTGTTTACCACTTATCGGATAGCCCGACAATGGGATTCTGTATTCAAAGCAAGTGAAATCAAGTGAAATTTATTCAGAGCTCTGCCTCTCCTGCTGGCGTCATATCTCTTTATTTAATTTGTAGCTACTGCTTCAATTGCGTCTCTTCTGTTTTAGAGCAAAATCTTCAAAGATACGATATATTGTATGTTGAGCAGAATGGTGGTTACTCTGAGAAAATTATTAGATTTGGTAAGATGCAGGAAACATTAAAACTTCTAATTGGCGAAATATTTTTTGATCGTGAAAAATTTGATCGATCTCGTCATTATTTGTTTTTTCGTTCTGTTACCCTAGCAATCATTCTTTGTTTTTTTGCTATCAAAGCGTCCTGCAAACTGATCATAGCAATTAGCATTAATATTTTTACTTAATTCCGGAAGCGAACATAACACAATGTAATCCAAAACCAACATCTTAATGGCTCTGGTACGAAATACATGGCGATTGATTATGTCAAAAACCCTTCCACGAATGCCGCTTACAATGTGCTGACAATAGTCTAATTTTCGTATGTCTTTTCCCACGCTAGTACCACGAATGCATATATGGCATGGAACATTCATCAAGTCGTCTAACGCATAACAGCTATGCTTCCCTTAAAGAGATATCCAAACTCTGGAAAGATTGGTATCGAAAATGTAGCCGTCTTGTCAGTACCTGATTGGGCTTGAGCAATAACATCACGACCTTTGACGATTTTCGAAACCTAATGAATACCACAATAAATAATAATTTAGTACAAACTATAGATTGGTGGTATTTAAACAAAAGCTGCAGGGAGTTCTATGAAAATAAACAAAAGCCCAGAAAAATTGGAAATTTTTAAGAAAACGGCTAATGCAAATACGCTAAAGGATAGTTTGTGTTCGAATTTCAAAAGTAAGTCAATGCAATGCTACCAATTATAAAAGACGAAGAAAAAGTAATAAGCGACTTGCTAAGTTTGACTTGCTAATATTCATTGCAAAATCTTGTACGATAATCGATCGCAAAATAAAGCAGAGAGCCTTTGGTTTGCTATATGATTGTATATAGCGTTTACGTCTTATTATGCATATTGCACGATTTTACAGCACTTGTGATAATCATAGTTAACTACACAAGCTAGAAACCGTACTTACCCCATTTTTTTGTTTTGAAAACTAGAATTGACTTACGTTCTCCTTCCCAACTGAGAAAGAGATCAAGAAATTCGTCTTATGCTCTTTTTTTCGCAATGGCACATTTTCTTCGTCAAAAACTTGTTTTCTAAAAGAATTCATTCTCGCAGTTGATTTTCATGGATTATGTGGATCGGTCGACCATGATTATCTGTGTTATTTAAAGAAAATCTATATTTTTTCCTTGCCGTTTACGACGTGATAGATCAAATTTTTCCCATATTCCAAAATATATATGATGTGTAATTCGGAACACTTAAATTAAGCGTTCAATAAGATATATTTAAAAAAAAAAACTCCAATTTTTATAGTCTCCACCCGTAGTGGCACAAGGGTATATTAACTTTGTGCGGATGTATGCAACACTTAGACGGAAGGAAAGCGCTTGATATAGGTTCCGATTGACTCAAAATTATTTTCTGAATCGATTTAAGCTTGTTTGTCCGTCTGTCTCTCTTGTTTTCCTGCGTTCAATCTACAGGCCGTAGGTTTTGACATATTTTCATCAAATGTGAGTTTTGGCCGAACGAAGAACACCATTGAAAATGGTTCGAATCAATCACTTTCTATACAACACCTTATATTGAAATGTTGATATTTGGACAACTGTAGGGTATTTAATAATGCGCCACTCCCCACTTGTTACTTTTTTCAGACTAAAGAGTGAAACAGATTCAACACTAGCAAAACGGACTCTCAGTTCAACTTTTTGCAAAGGAAATCAGATACTGAATCTGCTACCGTTAATAAAGTACATGCTACGCTTTTTTTACCCGATCTTGAAATAATACTATACTCTTCCCTAACACTTTTTTTTTTTTAATTCGAATTTTTTGACAATATCTTACAGAAATTATTGTATACAACAACAGAATACAGTTGCTGGGGAAATACTGCGATCAGAAGTCGGTCGGCTTCCAATATCCACACATGTGGATAGTGACCTGGGCTACTGCGTGCAATGCCTGAATTTTATTGTCATTCTTCATTTGAATCATACGCAGGAGGTTGTGCTGGACATATCTGACATGCAAACTGATGATAACATTTATGGTCTACTCTGTAATAAACGTGCACGCTTGCTATCAAGTAGTGATGGGTAGTTGCGAAACGGGTTTTTATTCCTAATCTCAATTTCGATTTTTATATGTTGTGCTTACGGGCTGACGTTCATTGTAAACTTTAAACTTTTTTTCTAATAAAAATGAATTGGCTTTGCCTTATAAGTTTGTGATATGAATTCCATTATTGCTCTCTTTGCAAGACTTTTTGGGAAAATATGTAGAGTTTTTTGATTTTACACGATTTTTTAAGTTGTTGAACATATCCCCAAATTTGCCTATACGCCACTTGTATTTTTTTATACGATTTTTTTTGCACGTTTTCTGAGGTAGGTGTCGTATGCCGTATAAAAAAATGAGTTGGCTACAATATATTAAATCGGTTATACCGTTCTGTTGACTGATTCCAAAACGTACAAAGAATTCGTTTTCCCGAATGCGATTGTTTTAATAAAGGAAAAGTTTAAGCACACATAAAGAAGATGTTTTATTGCAAGAATTTGGAGGAGAAGAGATCTCAAGTATCCGTTGGTTTGTTGCAATTGTATAACCAGGCCAGATTCGCACAAATGTTTCGATCTTGATTTTATAATTAGGACTTGGCAATTGGAAACAAATCGCGATTGGATCCTTTCAATATATCTTACTTTTTATTTTACTTATTATAAAGCAAAAATCATATTTTTGAGGTTTTCCGTTAACTAACGATTTCTAACTTAAATTCAAAGCGTTTTCAATTACGATTGCAAAAGTTGTGCATTATTTTATTACATTATATCACAATCTAAACCTATTGGCAATAATGAATTAAAATTTATGTGACAGCCTATTCATATTAATTTCATTACACTAATGTAATTAAATACTAAATAAAAAATAAATGAAATCTATGATATTTTAAACGGGTTCCATAATTAATATCATTACAATGCGTATTGCAATTTTGTTTGCAAAACTATTGCATATTTATGGGCTTCGCACACTATACTTGCTTGCAAAGAAAGGAAGTTTTCTTTTGTAATACAAAAACGGTGGCTTCTATTTCTCGAATTTTTATTGCATCTACGGTTGAGGAAAAATCAGTGCGCTGATTATGCTGCATACAGTTTATGATACGGGATATAAATTAAGTTTTGGCAGATGAATCTAGCAACCGGTGGAACCTAAATCAGGCTCACCTTTTATTGTACTATTCGATCCAAACTTATCTGTCCATTCGTCTATTTGGTATTTTTATGTTTAATCTACCAGTCACAATTTTTGACACATTCTGATGACGTGTTTCGGCTTAAGGACGAACGGTATTGGGAATGGTTCGGATCGGACCACTTTTTCCATCTCTCGCCATATAACGTTTTTTTTTTTTTGATGAGTCGTTCTAAGAAAAAACACTGCAACTTTTAGAACTTTGAGACAAAAATCGCCTACTACTAATTGGTGTGAAAACCTTGGACCGGACAGGGTAATATTTTGAACCCCTAGTCATATGACCGTTCTTACAGAAAATGAATCTTTAAATAGTAGAGATTTAGTTTTCAATATTTCTGCATGAAAATTCATTCATAATAATACATGATAGAACAATTATCTATTTTTTTGGATCCTAACTCATACAAGGATTCTAATGAAAAATAAGCCTTCATATGCCAAAGAGGACTAATTTTTAACAATTTTTGATTTCATAATACATTATGTGTTTAGTAAATCAACCATAGAGGATTTGGATTATATTAATCTATTTTTTCAGGTCGCTCCTTATCCGCCGAATTTTCTGCATCACAGCAAATAGTTTGCCATTAACTCGTAAATATTTCACCAAACAGGGACTTTTACTTCGTTTTCATAATTGGATTTGGCAATCGAATAAACCAATGACTACAAGCGTTTTCTACATTTAGCGAAGGGCCAATTTTAATCGTACACATACATTTTTGATGTTATTTCTTTCCCTTTCTCTGTTGTAAGATAGGATCCTTTGCAAATGCTCTTTTCATTCTAATAACTGAAAATATTTACGACTTTTTTATTTACGATACCTTCAACTTATTTGATTTTTAGAGTTTTGAAGCTTGATCTTAATAAAAATGAAATGCCCTGAAAAATAACAATACATGATTTGCTTCTAATTCCATAGTTAATCAAATCTTTAGATATGGTAGTAAGATAAGTTAGGACGAATGGACTGCCACATAAGGAAACTAGAGTAAGGTTATTTATTAACTCGCATAAAAAAGAATTGCTTGCCGAAAACTGATTGCATCCATACATTTTCTACATTTATCAACTGACTGAAAATACCTATGTTTAAAATTGTAGATAATATCACTGTGTCGAACCCTAGACGTTCCTATTTTCAAGATTGCAATTTTATTCCAAAAATAATATCATGTTTTATAAACTATGCCCGTGATATATATGTTATAAATGATTAATAGAAAGTCACTCTCAATCATGACATGTCATAAAACTCTAACCTAGTTGGGCGATGATCGGACATGGGAGAGGGAATATCTCTTATTTGTCGATCCGCAACAGATTTGAATCATGAGGGTCTAAAAAGCATAATATTAGCGCAAATAACTTTCATTGCTTTGAATTTCCAAAGCCGCGATGAATGATCCTAAATGAGACGTTTAATTAACTTACTCAAAATTCAAAAAAAAAAAGTAAATGAAGGATAAATATATATATACTAATGACGATTAAAACAAATTTACATCCTTCACATTATCAAGTGATTTTATTTTGTGAATTTTGCGGTAATTAACGAAAGTTTGTTATCAGTGAGAAATAAATGTCAACGCTTCCATGCAGTTGTTTGTCGAGCAGATAAGCTAAATGCCTAGTCCATAAAAATGAAACAAAGCCACTGATTCGACATTTCGGTTCCACTTATTTATGTACAAACATTTATTCATTAAAACAATATAATATTTATCTCAACATAATTAATTGCCGTAATTAATTTATTTATAAAACAAAAGACATTTTTTCTGCAGTCTCTAGGACTTTTATCTCGCGATGGGAGTAATCTTTGTTTTCACGTCACTCTTATTTAGAAACCTTAGAATTTATGAAACTGTATAATAGCTTCATTTTAATGTAACGTTGTTGTTGTTATTGGTGTTGCTATTATTATTGTTATTGCTATTATTATTATGTTGGTGTAGCTGGGCATTTTTTTGAGCATGTTCAGCCTCGCGTCTTAACACGCAATTAAGAAATTCCACTTGTATCGAAGTTATTTCTTCAGGTGGGAAACGTTGAATTTTCTTTTTAAGAAAATCAAAGAATAAATCACACTCCTCACGTTGATGTGCGCAATAGGCTGATGCAAAATTCGTTATAGATGACACTGGTGTCGGTGGAAAGTTAATTAGCGGTGCTTGGGTAAACGAGGAATCGGCTTGGTTTTCAGATTTTGCGACGGTGGTGGTGGTGTTGGCTGCAGCAGGGGACGGCGTTAGTTCTGGCAATGAATGTAAATGCACTGTCGATGAGGCTATAGTGACACAGGACGCGCTTGTGTCCAAGGTAGAAGAAGTAGAGGGAGTTAATGAGGCGGTTGATGAGCTAACAATAGGTAGATTTTTAAGTTTTATAGTGCCAGTTGCTCCGATAACACTGCTGGCACTACTTGAATATTGAGAACGAGGTGTGGGATTTATTGTACTTATACAAAAATCATTGGCATCGATATATTGAAATTTAGTGTCATCCGAATTAGCTGAATTGCCTCCGCCTGTTCCACCTATAATAGTCTCACAATCAACGCTCGGGGCATTTCCAGCTTCTTCATACAAGCATACTTCTTCGTAGTCTACTTCTCCACCGTTTGGCCCATCGTCATCTAACGAATTATGTTGTTCGTGTTTGACAATTTCGACGCAACCTTCCATGCTGTTTGTGTCATGATTCAATTCATTATGGGACACATGGGACATATTTGGGTCTTCATGTGTAACATCGTTGTCATGCGTTACATCTTCATAGGCAGTCAATATAAAAGTGTCTGTATCGTTCACTGATATAATGCTTGAGTGGACCATATCCTGTGACACAACGTGTTTGTTATCGTCGTTACCCCCGATTACGCCCTGTAACAGATTGTCCTGGGCGTCCTGGGCATTAGTGTTGTTAAAATTTTGTGTACGATGTGACTTCAACTTGGGTTGGTAGACATTTGACAAGAATTCCATATCTTTAGCATATCGCCATTTTGACAAGCCATCACCTATTTTAGTTTTACGCAAACGATACTGATGGTAAGTATCCCGTAAATTTTTCCACTTACGACGGCACTCTTCGACAGTATATTTATCTGAGATGTCTCAATCTTTTTATCAACAAGATTTAATTATGACATAGATTACTCACTTCCAATTTGTGCTGCTATCTGAGCCCAGCCATTAAGTATATCAATACGTCTACGCTGATTTGGTTGCAATTTATAATTGTACAAAGTAGGATTTTGCCTAACTAAGTGTATTAAGGTAACAATATCATCTGTGGGGGCCGAATCCTTTTGATATCGGCGTCTCTCTGCGTAAAGAGGTTATATTAGCAGAGTTTACCGTTATATGTTATAACGAATCTTTGGTTTATATTACTTACTCTGTGTGGTTTCCATTTCAAATTTTCTATTTATGATTTCCTTATAATATTTATTAACTACGAGTAAATAACTCGTTCCTTCTGCTGTACATGTATGTTTTGTTTTGTTAATGCGCTAAGCAGTAGTGGCTTTGATTGGTTTCAGTTCATAATTTTCGCTGCTATTTTCATTGCGAGTATTTCTATTTCCGTTGCTGTTCTTATTTGAATTTTACTTTCCCGTCTTTTTTTAACGAGAATAAAACAAATCCTAAATGCTTATATACATTTATATTTGAAAGAATTAACTTATTTCAATTGATAATTATGAAAATTTCTGAAAATTTTTCTGTAAATCACACTTTGCATCGTGTTGTGTGCAAAAAAGCTGTTTTCTTCTTTTTATTTTTTCTTTGGTAACATTTATACACTTGTAATATATATAAAAGATTAATGTTTTGTAATTTCGTTTTACACAATGACTATCGGTCGAAATGTGGTAAAAAGGGAAAAACATACAATTAGCGTGGCTCACAGTTTTGCCTTTGTCTATCGTCATATATCTTCTTGTCTTTTCTGAGATAATTAGCGGCGTTAAAAATGAATAAAATATTGATAAAAGCTGATCAAAAATAGAAAATGTAAATATAAATAAAAACAAGTAAAATTGTTACTCAACTTAGCAAATCATCTGTTGTTAAATTGCTGATTGGCTGAAGGCGGAAAGAAGGAAAACATTACGGCCGATTATTAAATACCCTACACTACTTCATTTAACATTGTTATTTATACTGCCTGTCAAGTAATCATATATGTATTTATTCCGTCCAAAAATGATGATAAGTGAATATATTAATTTTCAATTTGTGTTTTATAGAAAATATCTCGCTTTGGGTAAGCAAGGCATATTTTAAGGTATAATTGTCTTCATAGTTTTGCTGTTAGTCGAAAACGCCAACAGGAAGTGAACTTTCATATGAGCAGCGCGGGAAAATTGCAAGAATGAGACTTGCTGGTAAGAAAATTGTCGAGATATCAGTTGCGGTAAATTGGTACCGCAATGTGGTCTCAAATTACCTAAAACACTCCGATAAATATAGTCGCACAGTGGTGTCATCCTAACGGTAGATCAGTGGAGGAAGAGGAAACGTATACGCCATTTAGCAACCAATGAAATAAAGGCAAAATTGGTCGCAAATCTAAGGAGACATCGTGTGCAGCAACTTCTTAAAGATGCCATTCGTCTTGGGTATGAACACAAAATTGCCAAACCACGCTTTACCCTGTGCCATAAAAATGCCCCCTTTTCATGAATATTGAGGAGATGTGCGATATCCTCATGATGATGGATCCTTTAGCGTATGGGCTGCATTTTGAACACGAAGGGAGACAAAACAATGCTTTGTGCCCACTTGTTAGAGGAGAATTTTGAAAACTTTTTGAGCCCTTTACCACGCAGACTGTAACATGTTATATATGTAACATGTAACATGTATATATGTAACAAGTTCTTATTCATAAGCGCAACACAATACTACGTCAATGATATAATCACATAAGTTATTGTTTAACATTACAAATTAATATTATCTTTCATTTTTCCACATATTAGGTCATATTGAAAATTCTGCGCGGTTTTTTCCGGGGAATGGTGTTGATGCCCATATATATTGGGCAACGAACATTTGCTCAAAAGGTGACATTTCAGCTTACATTCCTTGTGAAGATAGTCTTTTAATTTTTTGCTCGTGTAAAAAGTTATATTGATTTGAAAATAAGTGAAATATCTGAAGTAATACGTGACGTGATGCGTTTTTACTATAAAAAAGTCAAAAACATGCCGAAAAATTTGTGAAATGTGCGGTGAGAATGCTGTGAGTGGGTGAAGGACCCAAGAGTGCTTTGCTCGATTCCGTTCCGGAAATTACGATGTCAAAGATGCGTCTCGTAGCCACTGCAAAAGTCGATGAAAGTTTGCAACTGGTGGGGCAAGACCGGCGGGAAAGCCGTCAGGAAATAGCGGAGGCACTAAACATCAGCCACATGAGAGTTTGGAATCATTTGAAAGGAGCTCGCTTACACTTTGCTATGTGACCTGACGTAATTATTTGCTATGAAGTACATACGGAGTATGGTTTTCCTCTGGTATAAAAGATATATTAAGGTTATGTAATTTTATCCTTGAAGCTTCTTTCTAAGCGTTACAAACTCTTTGGTAAAATGAATATATCCCTAATCCTTTGGTGATGGGTATAAAAACGATACAAAGAATTATATAACTTCTCTCGAATGTAAGTAAAAGTAAGAAGATCGATGATAAGAATGTAGTGAGAATCAGAAAGTCAGAGAGAAAGAAAAAAAGAAAGAAGGAAAGAAAGAAAGAAAGAGAGAGAGAGAGAGAGAGAGAAAACCGAAGCTTTTGAAGACGCACGGGCGTTTTGTAGACGGCATTCGTGGGATATGAGCGGGTATTGCTGTGCTGTTTGCAGACGGTATTGGTTTGTTTATTAGCTATTTGTAGAAACTAATGATTTATGTGAAATTAAAAGCAAAAGCAATATTCAATCATTCTTTTATATATATTTTATTTTTATATACATTTTTTAATATAAAATGAATATAATTTTTCTAATCTTTTACTTGAACTTTATACTTCTTTAATTGGATATTTTCTCAAGGTAATTGAATAATCAATATTTTTTTACATATAATAATAATAATACGTCAAACATTTCTACATCAAAAATTTAAAAAATTATTGTAATTAAAAAAATCTTAGAGAAAATGGACCTTAGGACCCAACGCAATTTGAACTGTAGTTATGTGGCTGTGTAACTTAAAAGTTTACGTGCACACAAATTGTGGAACGTGAACTTATGAAAAGAATTTTATTTCCGTTTCGCATAGACTTAGTTCGCATAACGCATAACTTGCTTCGCATAACACATTGAAAATTACTAACAAAAAAAACCTTTTTTAACCTCTCTCAGAGTAGCACTGAAAGCAATTCAAACGTTTTCTTCTCTAAGAAAGTGATAATAAATTTTTGTTTGTCTTTTTTTTATATATGACCAATCGCTCAGGGGATGTCACCCGATCAGAAAGAAATGAGAAAAGAGAAAGGAAGAAAGAAATAGCGAACTGGCGGCTGCAGCCTAGCGGATGCGTGCCCAATCGATATGACTTTATGACCAAAGTGAACTCCACCGCACTGAGACTTGAATCACCAAAAACTGGCTATGTAGTCGCGAAAATATCCAAGAAGATGTCATTGTTGAATCTACTATCCGAAAATGATTTTCTAAACTAGACGTGGTCAATTTTTCCCATTCTTGTGCAGCATTGCCCATACGCGTTTCAAATTTTTGTACATTTATCTGTCATAGTTTATGAGTAATGAACAAAAACCAATTTTTTGCTCAATTTGGAAAACAGAGGTGTTCTTAATGTACTGTGAGCGTATATAATTAGGGCTCAATTGTTATATTTGTTATGAGCGTGATAACTTTATTCGTTACAGATGAGCCTTAATCGTCATAAATCAGCCGTTATGCATAGGCCCAAATCGTCACATCATTATGAAAGGTGGCGTCTGGTTAAAAGTCTTAATCGTTGTTTAGCGCTGCGTGGAATTCTGAATGATGAATTTGTTTTGAGTTTTTTGCCCCGTAAAATTTGTACAAACTAATGTACGAAAACATATATACACAATAACATATATAACAATAACAATAATAATAACGATAATAATAATAATAATAACAATAATAATAATAATAATAATACCAATAATAATAATAATAATAATAATAACAATAATAATAACAAGAATAATAACAATAATAATAATAATAACAATAATAACATTAATAATATAAATAATTCATAGGCTCTCTGGCTTATACGGTCGTCTTTCGACACACTAGACTATTGATTCTAAAATATTGTTAAAAGAAAATGTTAAAGGGATGTAGGTGTGGGCACAGTAAATGGGTCAACAAATCCTTAACAGAAGATCATTAAAAAAACTAATATCTTACCGAGAATTTCAAAACTAATTATCCACTTGCTCTTAACAAGTAAAAATTATATCGGCCAAGACACAAAATCAATAAAATCATAATAATGAGTGTTAAATTCTATTGAAGCCAAAGAGCCTATATTAAGCCGCGTTGCTACCTGATATAACAAATTCTGCAATAAATCAAACATAAGAAAGTCCAAATTAATTAATTTAGCGGCATTTTAGGTATCGTGTCTAACGTCAAAAAATCAATTCACAAGCACTGATATCCCGATGTATTGGCAGAGGAGTGTTGCAGCAAATGGCGGCGACAGACTTCGCTGTGTTATAATAATCGAACAAATCAACTGCTGTCATTTTTTTCTGAATAACGCCAAACAATACAAAGAAGAAGACAAAAAGTAATGTAATTTACAGTAGTTCAAATAGTATTTTTCTATTAAATCGTTTTGTGTTGGCATTTTTCTTATGACACTTCCGCTTGGCTTATACCTAAAATCCCACTTTAAATGCTTGGCTTTTGCGTAACGCTCCTCTCTTATACATTGCCCTTGCTAAATATTGAAAAATCAAAATTTTGTATATGAGTACATGTGCCCATATATATTAGTATTATTATTTTGAAGCAGTTGATCAGTTGTCGGAAGAAGTTAAAAAATTATACAAATAAATGCATATATGTGCAATTAAGGTGTGAATTGGATTTATGTCACAAGCTTGGCTTTGCCGAGCTATTTGAAAATCTTGAAGCTCGGTCTGTTAGCATCTAATTCAACCGACCTAATGCCGCGAAATCTTGCAACGTGCCCGTTTGGCTTCGCACGATTCAACGAGTCTGTATTGAAAAACCTAATACAAGCGATGTGCGTGAAGAAACTGATTACAGGTGAAGCCGAAATATTTACTTTTTATATTATATTTGATCTATTCTTTCGGGAGTTACCAGAAAATTATAACACATTCTATATACTATGAACCGAACTTAAAAAATTCATCTTATAGATGATATAGAACAATTTAATTGGTTTTCGAATTTGATAGGGAAACTTTGAAAAAAAAGACATTTTTTAAAACTGACTTTAACGAAATTTTGCGATTTGATAGATCCTTATCTATCCACAGATATATATGCATATAAACAATATATATATTTGTAAATATGTATATATAGCCATAAGTATGTGTCTATATACATAAAAGTTCGTGCAGGACTGTTTATATACCTTAGTTACTTATTTTTCATTTTACATTTCTGTCAGTTAGATGTAAAAAGCTCTGGATGTATCCGCAACAGAATTTGACTAATGAAACTTTTAAATAAATATTATTTCATTTCATTGCATTTTGTCCATCTATTTTGTGTTTAGTGATATAAATATATTAATTAATTAATAATTGCGTTTAATATATAAAGAATTTTATAAATGACATCTTTAAAAATTTACTTATTAGAGAATTTCTTTACGCTTACCAACACTGTCGATTTTTCTGGCTGATTTTTCAGTTATCGGCAATCGAAGTATTATGTGAAAAATGTCATAAAATTCTTTTTTTCGTGGGGTGTTTATATTTTTTCCATCGATACAAGAGAAAATTTTCAGAATAAAATATGAAAAGTGTTTAGAAAAAGAAGTAAAAAAATTAATTTGACAATCGTGGAAATTATTAAAAATTCTTCAAAGTATATTTGATTTAATAAACGTATACATCTATATGAAAAGCGATCACACATATTTATGATAGAAATTTAAAAGTCCACATTCATACATAAAATAATGGTCAAAAAATTGCGAAGTGAGTGGAGAAGTTATGCGTATATATGTAAAGATTAAAATATTGAATGAATGAAAAGACAAGAAACTAAAAGAAAATTTGCGTTTTATATGAAATGCACAAAATGCTAAATATATACGTGAAATAGAAGAATCTTTTTCATATAATATATGCTTTTGAGAAATGTAACATTTATATCCATCAGTGTGTGAATGTAGAGAAAAAAATAGTATCTTGGCTGTTATCCCAAGAATTTGTATGCAAATATAGTTTTATATTTATATAATGAAAAAAGGTATTAATATGTCTATATTTTTTTAAATACTTCTTTTCATATGGTTAAAGAAAAGCGTGTATTAAAATTTCATCCTAGTTTAAACAGTGAAAGCTGTTTTATAAACATTTTTTTTCTCTTGCAACGTAGAAAAAAATGGTATGTGTGTATGTGATTATTATCTTTGCTCTTTTCTTTTGCGCGTTGTTGTTGCTGCCTTTTCCTCTGCCTACAATGTATGCCTACCACCGCAGCACATTATTTAACTTGTATGGCCAAGTGTGCGAGTTTGTGATTGTGATTTTTCGATAAATTGTTTATGTATTCGTTCATTTATTTTGTTATGAAAATTGTTTCAATACATCGCGCAAAATAAACAATTGTTTAATAGAAATAGTGTTTGCGGTTAATTGTTTTCCAGGAAACTGTAATTATGCAAATTTTTCTTAAGTACTTGAATGAATAATTATCTGCTGACATTCTGAATTTTTGCCTAACGATATACATAACTATAAATTAAAGTGTAAAGAGGCCGTCATGAAAAATTTTTATTCAATAGATCCATGGGTTTGCTAAAGTAGCGCATTCGTCGGTGTTTCTCCAAAATTATTTAAAAAATTGTATATTTTTAACATTATTCATTTTCGCACAAACATAGGCAGCGTCCATGCTTGGCAGCGAATATGTTATCAGGTAAAGAATAACTAATTCGTCTTCTGCTAAAGGGCAAAACATATGTATGCATTTTCTTCAGGTATTCTGTCTTGGACGGGCTGATTTCCATTTTATAATTTCCGCCGTAACGAATATATAGTTGTTTGTGCGTGCGAGTGACAATGTTAATGTGCAAAGTTATGTATGTGGAGGCCGGAAAGATGGAAAAGAGCAGGGTGGGAGAGATAGGGAGAAGTTTAAGAGGACTAACGAAGGAGAAGGGGGAAGGGGAGGGGGGAAAATAACTTTGCGAGAGGTAGAGATGATAAACATGTAAATATATGGTAACGCAAATTTGATGGTTAACCGCCGCCCTCTGCTCCTTCTCTTGTATAAACTTTTTGGGTTTTTATAATCATGCTCTTACCGTTATTTTCCTTTTCCCCTCTTCTCCATAACCAACCATATAATTTTATATT